TTTTTGAAATTCGGCTTTCAGAGAGTCAAGAACAACATTTAATTTTTTTATCTCAGTAACTAATACAAATCAACTTCAATATAAATTACTTCAGGAATTTAACCAGTAACAATGATCGCACAACTATGATATTGCAATGACATCAAAAAGCATGTAGAAAGCCATAAACCACTATATCCTTAAATATTTGAAGGGCTTTAACATCTTGAGCGATCAACACTGTGGCTTTCGGCAACAAAGATCAACAGGCGACCTTCTTTCGTATGTCACCCATTTTTGGAATAACGCAATAGAGGACCGTTTGATGCAAATGGCCGTCGATGGATATCTCTCGAATACGTTTACCATCAACGCTGGTGTTACACAGGGATCCATATTGTCTCCAATCTTCTTGTTATTGTATATCAACGACTTTTGGAAAAAAAAAACAAGAATCCAATATATTGCTTTGCTGACGACAGCACACTCATCTCATCATTACTTTGGGATCCCAGGACAGAAAACAAGTACTTTCTTAATTCCCAATAAACCCAATACTCCTCTTGGATAATCTCTCGAGCCAACATTGAATATGGACTGCTACACTTTGACAAAAATAATACAAATCCCAGGGTGATCAATGTAACATTCAACCAACTTCTGAAGCAATACGAACACCCCTTTCCATTATACACTGATGCATCTAAAACGGAAGATGGTGTAGGGGCAGCTTTTACCAGCTCTAATTTCAGCTGTTCATTCAAATTATCGAAAGAAAACACAATACAGGTGAATTATTCACTATTTGGAGAGCATTAAAGTACATGGAGGAAAAAACATCCCAGAATGCAGATTCGCTGAACGCTCTCGAAGCAACTACACAACTATACACCAATCGTCTCATCTTGCTTCTCATAAAACTTTCTCTCCACTCACTACATCAAAAACATATTTTCATCCAGTTTTTGTGGGTCCCTCCACACATTGGCATAGTTGGAAATGAAAGAGCTGACAAATTAGCGAAAGAAGCTATATAAGCAAACGATCATCAACAGTTTGCAATCCCAATTGAATAGTTCGTCAGCAAAACTTCATGAGATAAAACAGTCAGTATCTCTTTGGAAAAACACCTCCAATGAAAGAAAAACCCAGGTCATTTCATCTCGTCTTCGTCTAGACCACAGTCGTCTCACCCATGGGTATCTACTGTCTGAAGAAGAACCCCCAGTATGTGAAGTGTGTGATAGTCCTCAAAGTGTGCACATTTTCTCAATGAGTGCGTGCTATATCACAACGAAAGACAAAATTATGGCTTCCCACCATCAATAAAGGACATACTAGGAGATGAATGTGATATCAATATTCCATTAGCTTTCCTCAGAAAGCTAGAAAGAATAGAGCTCTCGGTAGGACGACACTATATTATATTGTGTAGCAATCCTATCTATGATATCTGATTCGATTTCATAACGAATGTTTAGAATTTAAACTGAATAGGAATAACTGTTTATTATATCATTGAATGTCATATAAAAGTTGTTTGGAAAGTATTTTTTTCGTGTAATTCAATGATTATATGGTATATAGTTTATGTCTGAAAGTTCGTTCTTTGAATGACCTACCTGCATGTCTCTGTAGAGAGTTCATTTTGAAAATGATTGCTTTTTATTTTCATTTTTACTTGCATAAAGATAGAGAGGTAGAAAGCCAAAACGGTTTTTCACAAAAATCAACCTCTCCTAACATATACTCCTTTCAATTTTGATAAATTTGTAATCAATATCGCTCTGCAATTACTCTGATCCGTTCTCACTGAAACATTTTAAGTGGTTTCACGATTTAATCTCCAACGAAGTGAATTTTCTTACTAACAAGTCATATAAATTACTTGCATGCATTATTTGCGTTTTATGCTTATTGACAAGTGATCATTAAGCAATTATCGTGATAATTACAGTAAAAAACATTCAATTAATAGCGTCAAAAAAAGGTGTGGTGTGATACCAAGTAAGTGTCAGGTAATTATTCACGGGTGTTACGAAAATACGTAACAGTATTTTATAGTCAGATGAAAGTCTTATTAGAATATGCCTGTGATTAAAATATCAACATCAGGAGTAATGGAACTCATCTTCACTGTTGAGTTTTTTTCAACACTTATTCTGCTTCTATATTTATTTTTTATGTACATATTTTTTATGTACAAATAGCAGAGCATGTTGGAAAAGCAAAGGGTAATCGGTTTTACATCCGATCCAGAAATTAGTTGAAGATTTCTCTTTGAAATAATCTTTCATGGAACTATCTTCTGTGAGGTCGATAAAACTTTCTTTCAGTTCCAATTCATTTGGTGGGGTTTCCGAAAAAGGATTTCTGATCCAATCCTTTGAAGTAGAAGAGGATGTCAGAAATTGTTTCATAGTTCAGTTTTCTAATACGAAATCAGAATTGATAATTACAACACCCACAACGAACCTGTAATGCCAAGTGAAAGTAAAAGACAAGACCCCCAGGTAAAAAATGAAACACCCTTCTTTTACCAATTGTACTATCTGGGGATTCCTAGGTAAAATTCCTAAAGTGTTATATTGTTTTGTTACCTAGGGATTATAAACTCCCAGGTAATAGAAAAACAAAGATGTCAGGTCGTTCACTCGGTTATGAGTATTTCGTTTTTCTAGCTACCCGTGAGCTGAGTCATGTTTGCTATTAACAGCATGTTGCTCACATCACTAACGCGTACCACCTGAAACGTTTCCGCGTACCAGTAGTGGTACGCGTACCACCGGTTGGGAACCCCTGCTCTAGATCCCCATTAAGGTATGCAACCTCCTGCGGCCGGTGAAGATGTGGCTCCATAGCCGATGTCCTGGAATCCAAATGAATTGACGAGACAAGTATGCTGTTTTCTATTTGTACTTCAAGCTCCATGATTCAAGATAGAAATTTTGTAATATAAAAGAAGCTTCTTGTCACTTGTTCATTAGTAACGCCCCGATTTTCAACACTTTTTTCCAAATAAAACAATAATGATGATATAGCTTTTATAGCCCAACATCAAAACCATTTTTGGAATGGTTTGTTGGGTAAGAGGATCAAATTGTCCGAGAAAAATAATTGTTTTTTTTTCAGCGTTTTCAATAAATTCAAGTTCTTCTTCAGGGCTCCGTCACAACGAAATTTCGAAACTGTTCACTAGAAACCTGTTGAAATTAGATACCGTAAGTATTGATTCACATAAAATAAGTCGAAGCTTTTAATAATACATTGATGTAACCTCTGTTGCATCAAAAAAAGGCCTTCTAGTTATCAGTCGAGAAACAAAGATATTCATAAGAAATAATGGACCTCGGGAGGAGTTAATTTGGGAGTTCGAAAGTTTATTCAAGGATCTCACAGTTGACTTTTTTCAAATGTCACGATATCAAACTTAGGCAAGTTTAAAGTATCGGTTATATTAGAATTTTCATGTATGCTGCAAGGACAGGTATTTGAGAGACAGGTGATTGGGTGAACCAAGATGCCAACTTTGAAATTTCACACTGGATATATCAGAGAATTAGGAATAAACTGCTTGCCAATCCCAATGGGGCTAGATGCTTCTGGTCGATAGCAAAATCTGGTAATCAGCAAAATTTCTGGGATTACAAATTGATGAAAATTTGGATTTTGAAGGTCACATAAATAACCTATGTAAAAAAATTTCTTCAGGGAGCTTTGCAGTCAGAGTATCAGCAAATGAATCAGGCACTAATATGGCAAAAAATGTGTACTTTGCTGTCATCGATTCACATCTGAGATACGGTATCTGTTTTTGGGGAACGTGTTGCCAATATATGTTTGATAGGGCGTTTGTACTACAAAAAAGAGAAGTTAGAAATATGTGTAGAGTTGGATTCAGGGATTCCTGTCGACCTTGCCCTCCATACTTCTATTGGAAATGTTATGTCTGATGCAAAAAAATACTGGACGGAAATTTTCATTTCACCACGACGAAATACCGGAAATAAGCTCATACCAGAATAAGTTCAATCTAGGATTACCGATTGCGATATCATCAAAAATTGAGAGGTCTTTCATATATAATGGAAAAAAATGTTTAAGCATTTGCCAATTGAAATCAAAGGTATAACATGTACCACTAAATTTAGAAAGTCTGTAAAAAGCTTCTGATTTCAAAAGCCTTCTATTCTTTAGAAGAATTCAATTCAGACAGAAATTTAAATTATATAAACAATTCATTTTAATTATTGTGTTTCAGTACCTACTGGTATTTAAACAATGTGATTTTTTTAACTTTTTGTTTGATGTTTACATTCAGCTCTGAACTGTGTAGTTGAAAATGTTCACGAAGTTGATACTTAATTCATATTCTATACTTACAGAATTTAAGTACATGAAACTCAACATCTTGAAATTTCTACATTTTCAGATCGGGCCAGTGCCATTTCAAAATAGCCCTGGCACTTGAATCCGACCAATAATACAAATTTACAAGTAGAAAATCGATATCAACAAACATTTACACACACTTATCATTTTAGGAAACTGTAGATATGTTAAAATACTAAAAATTATTTACAGTCATCACAGAAAAATAGTTGAAAAATTAAGTGTCTAGTAAACAGTTACAGCTTGAACCTTTTTTGGAAATGTTCCCCCAAATTTTAACTGGACCGTATCAAAAATTATTTTACCACATCTACATCACTCGAAAAAAAACCGACAGTAATACTTTGTAATACCAAGATATGTACAGGGAAAATAAATATAAAATTCTGTATAAACGAAATAAATAATTTCTATGTACACTGTTCATTCAACTAAATAACAACGGAACTTTTCTTTTTTGCAGTTGGCACTGACAAAAGACAAGTTTGGCACTCAAACATTGGCACTGGTAATTGTTTTAGGGTTTTTATTGCAACTGCGTCAAGTCACTGGATTTGTCCGACTTTCACTCTAATACATAACCTCATTGGTACCATACGTGCGAGAGGTTTGGGGAAATGAGAGATGAGCGGATTCGGCTCACACTGAGAAAAATACTTATTTCGATACCTGCACTGTGAAAAATAATTTGTAGAATATGTTTTTCATCCAGCTATACTTATTGATTGGGTTTCCTACCTCTAGTTCGTTTGATTACCAGATTGACCAACGGAAGGTTCATAGTTATTGGTGATAGTAATATATTTATTCAATTTCAGTGCTGGGAATGGAAATTATGATGAGAATGTGCTTTTTTCAGGATTGATACAGTTTTGACCATATTTTAATCATCATTGTTCAATTTATAAATGAAAAAAAATGACTCCTTTCAAGAAAAGACTTATTTGTCTTGAATTGATTATTTTGATTAACTAAATCATTGATAATATGACACTGAATAAAGTTAAATCAATTTTTTCCAATATCGTCCTGAGAAATTTTCTAACTTGTGAACTGAAAATTTATATTTACATATCAAAGATGTCAAAAAATATTGTCAGATTTAAAATGCTTTCATTTTTGGGGAGTTTGTTAATGTCAATGCCATGACTAGGCATTTACAGTAACAGTGAAAGTAAAAATGTAGCATTTCATTCAACTCAGAAAATTTCTGATCATCTCATCACTATTGGACAACTTGTTTTGAGCAACTCTCATCATAACTGAATCACAGACCCAGAGCGATATATGAAAATAACAGGTCTCTACTCTACTCTCAGTCTTCTCAAACTCTCACAATCCCCCACCACTCAATCCGAATGAAATACCAATATATTTGCACCGGAAGAATATTTACAAAGGAGCTACAAGTCTTGTCTATGACTCGCTTTCCACATCACTAACACATTCATCTTCCATATCCATATCGATGTACTCCCCGTATTCGTCTGCTGTTTCTTCTTTCCACTTGTTCACGTGGTGTGTGTTGTTTTGTGAACTGGGGGAACCCGATTTGCTACCGGAATGGTTCGTTTTGGCTTCTTCTTCTTGCTGCATCCTTTTGTGTTTCGTCCTTCTATTCTGGAACCATACTTTGACCTGGAACAAAGGAATAAGTTGTTATTTTTCATTCATAACAAACGATTTGTGGTTATTTGACAAGAAACAAAAAAATACCATGAGTTATTCGCAAAGAACTAGATGGGAGTGAATCTAGAGATTTACTCCAGTGCTTCAATAATAATAATAGATTTTCAGTTTCATTCCGGTTGATGTTTTTAGATGGAGATACATATCGACGATTATTATAAAGTTTCTGTTGGACGACGAGTCGTGCTTGTCTGCTACCCTCCAGAAATATTGTACAGCCGGACTGAATCATAGCCGGTGGGAAACCCCTCCCTCAAAATGTGCAGTAGATGTGTAGAAATCAGTCTGTCAGATCATTCGAACCGTAAACATGAGATTGGATTCCGCACACAGTTCAATAGCGTAAATTTTCGCTTGAAATAGTCACATCTGTTCCTAGGCGGGTTGATATCTCTGTCCTGGATCTGCGAGTGAAAACACCTGCACCAGAACCGGAAGGTGTTTTTGATCCATCTGTGAACCAATAAGTATTTTCTCTTAATATTTCCTTTTCCCGGAGGATCCAGTCCTATCTACTCGGGAACAGTACTTTATAAGGTAGTTCGTAGTTGACAGTCGGAGGCATACAGTCAGAGGTCATTTTGAGAATGCTGTGTCTTCAAGTGTCAACCAACAGTCTGCTGCACTCTGCTTTAAATTGGTTTGTGCATTTGGGTCATTTGGGACAGTTTGCGGTCATTCAAAATTATTTTGTGGACTTTTTCATGTTTTCGTCGGCAACACTGCATCCGTCCTCAGTGCTCATTTCACCCTGCTCAAACTCAGCAAACCACTTCTCAGCGGTGGATTTTTCTAATGCATAGTCCGAATGATGTTTATCAAGACAAGCATCAGCTTCAACAGTTTTTTTTCACCAAAAAGCAATGCTTTATCAACACAAGGAAATCCTTCTCATCCATTTTACTCAAACTAACAAAAGTTGCATCACTCTGCATGTTCTATCCTACAAACTAATAGTCCAACAGCTATGAAATTTGTAAACATGTCTTTTGAAGGTTGAGGTTAACTAATAATCAATTGATTCAATACCAGTGTGAACTTTTCTGCCCCTCCAGTGCTTGTCTATTGCCGTCTGAAGCTTCCTAGATATATTGTGGTATGTTAAAAAAATGTTGTTGTTTTTTAACGATTATTGGGGAGCCGATTGGAAGTATTGATTGAGCTCTTCATTGTCTGTCATGGAATTATTTTTTATGATTTGTATTTTTACCATTCGATACTGAACTCTAAAAGCGTGCACCTCGAAAAATGTTTGATATGTTACGTAGGACAAATCTGATGATTTGGGAAGATTTATTCTAAAGAACACAATTCAAAACAACTCTTGTGGGTAGAACGAAGGGAAACTTGGAAATACTTTTTTCAGCGTTGAATACAGAAACACCCATTTCGAGTGGTGGTAGTGGGGAAAAACGGAAATTATGCTTCGCTTCAGCGAATTAAAATCTCCAAACAATTATCTATACAGATACTAGCTGAGATAAGAACGAGTAACCTAGCAATTTGTTGTTAATCTGATAATTACACTGGCTCATTTGAATAGGATATTCACTAATTATTGAACAATATCGAGGTTCCCTCGAGAAATTATGAATGATAATAATAATCATCAGTGATTAAGGAAACGGTCCCGTATAATTAAGCCATTAATTAAATTTCCTTGTGGCTCTCGTTATCCCATTACCAATGGAAAAATTATGTTATGTTCCAGGTATTTTAATTGAACATATTGTAAACTTATATTGCCATCAATTTAACGTTTTCCCTGTCCAGGGTCGGCTTTCAAAGAAAAAACTTAAGCTTTTCACAATCAATAATGACGCTGCCTGTTCAAGAATGGGATGAATGTTCATTCTTCTCAAGAATGTTCATTCATTTTGTCTCCTTCACAGTAGTCCTCTTCAGATATAATATTCTTGTGCTATCATTTTTCCAATCCAATATTCTTGAAATTTCTCAGCTTTTCATCTTTTCAATCGTCGCAAAACGCCGTCTTTTCATGCGTTCCCTCAATCTTGGGACCAGAAAAAGTCGCTGGGAGTTAAATCTGGTGAATACGGTGGCTGATGCTTGATTACGGGGTTGTTTTTTGCCAAAAAATTACGAACTAGAAACGACGAGTGGGTAGGTATATAATTATTTTTCCAGAATACCTGTCTTTTCGGTTGAAACACGGAGGAACGAAAAAATTGCACGGCATGAGCCAACCGATGAAGTAACTTTCTCAACTTTTCTTAGTGTACCTACCAAAGTCTATTTATGATTCTCGAAAGTGTATACTGTTTTGACAGAGATAAAAGATATTCTGGTGTATTTCAATAACAAAATATGCTTATTTTATGAACAGTGTTGCTAAACTTGACGACTATACAGATACAGACACAGATAACCAAAACAATTTGGACAATGGTTCGCTTGAAGCCAACTTTGTGATTGTGTCGATGTACAGAAAAGAAAAATTGACAGAATGTCAGTTTTCACAGCTAGATTGAAATGACAATTTTTTTAAAAACATTGCCTTAGTTCTAGCTTCTACTTTTGCACATGACTTAGAGAAATCAATTCATACCAAGCCAATCCTCACAATATATCTTAATTTTAGTGGATGACCTTCCGCCCGCTCCAATTTTTGAATTATTTTCAGTCCGATCCTGTGTTTATCGCGCATTGAATTTACCATGCAGCATTTGCAGTGGTATCATGATCTCCTAGGTCATTCACAGCATTAATATTAACGTTACAAATAATAATTACAATATCATTAATTTGCATAGAGAACTGGTTGCCATATTTGATACATATTTCAATTGCTAATCGCAAGTTGAGCCGCGAATACTAAAAGCACCGTCCTAGGAAATTCCTGATGTGTTTGTACAAATCGATCACACACTGTGGTGAATATAAAGTTGTTTTGGTTCGATTGCTGAGTGGTAGGATGTATTTTGTTGAAGAGGAGTCAGTGGAACTGTTGTGAAAAGTGATGAAAGTACTAATGAGGAAGTGATAATAGAAAATGGAATTAGTACACATTGAGTACAGAGGTAGTCTCAGAAGTACCAGGCCTGTCCTAGAGATGGCGGTAGTTGTTTGAAAAATATCACTGTATTAGAAAGTTCACAATCTATAAAGAATGTTTCGAGTTTGAAGTCGCTGCGTTGTTTAATATTTGTTTGACAGCCGTGAGTTTTTGAAAATGGAGAAAGTTGGTGATCGTTATGTGGTACATTACTCGGCCCAACCAATGATGTATTCAATAAACAATTATGTTTTTCATTTATTTTCTTCGAAAAATATCAGCATTATCACTATACATTATTGAATCTTTGGCAAAACCCCTTTTTTCAATATTTTCCCCGCTCAATCCCCAACAACTTGTAGAAATTTTAAGCAAGTATCTTGCTAACTTTTCGTGGAAAATTTGACAAGTATTTCGTAGCGAACACTCCCACTTCTGCCGACAAACCATCCCGAATTCACAAGTCATTAAACATTTGACAAACGACGTACACCCCTTTATCAACTAGTTTATACTTTGCGTACACAAATCGTCGATATTGAGGATGGCATATTCGGCATCCGGTTCGTTCCGTTGGCGAATCGGTCGCTTCCGGCATGAAGACAGTCATTTGTTTTGAGTTTAGGCAGCGCCGGCTTTAGAGGGGCGATTCAGGCGGCCACCCATGCGCCATGTGTCAACATATATCCAAAAAGTCACTAATAAGGGGATGAATTGATTGTTTGCAGTACCTGAAGAGCTTCAAGATTTTTTCTGCTTTTTCGCTCTATCGCTCAAGTATTTTCCATGTCTCAAAATTTGTTCTGTAAAGACATCTTGTTCTGAAAAACTTGACAACCCTCGTTCATAACCCTATTTGCCATTAGAACTATAACTTACAGGTTATCTGAAATGGAAAATTCTTCCTAATCTGAGTCTTCCAAAAAAATATCTAAATAAAGTGTTGATCAATCCTTCATCGATGGAGATCATATTTCATAAGGAACACATTATTGTGGACAATTGGAGACGTTGCTTGGATGTCATACGGAGAGGGGTTAGTTGTCAATACAATGTAATAACATAGATTGAGAATAAATAATCATCAAACAATTATATATCAATAAACTATGCTCAAGGGCAGAGCTCCATACATGAGAACAATAATCCAAAGAAGGCAGAGGTGTGTACAGTTTTCTAGTTCGTAACAGTGTTCCAAGCTTTTGAGAAGCAGCCTTTGCAATTCCAGCGACATGATTTTACCAAGACATATTGGTGTACATTTTAACTCCCAACAAACTTATCGAAGCAGAAAGCGGAATTGTCTGACTTGACATTATTATATCCAGTTCGGAAACATTTATCTGTTTGGTAAAAACCGATGCCTGGGTTTTTGTGGCATTGAATTGAACCTGGTTACTTTTACCCCAGTTCGAAATCACTTCTAGATTCTCATCAAGATATGCAACCTCCTGCTGCCGGTGGAGATGAAAAGCAATATATTGGATCCTTGGGTTTTTCAATAATTCATTGATATACAATAAAAATTGGATCGGAGGCAATATGGTTCCCTGGAGAACACCAGAATATTCCCCAGGGATTCATAACGTGTATCACTTTCACACATTCCACAAAAACACAGTTTTGTTGTTCCTTTTTGGACAGGTGATGTTTTATTAATCACTTACTTATAATTTTCACCCACCTATTATTTTTTTTCAATATATTCACATTGTAGGTGATTCTTCTGACATTTCACATCGTTATACGTAAAGCAGTACAAGAAACATGGCTGACACATGCCCATAAAGAGAAATTATGTTGAAATGGTCCTACACTATACTATAAACAAAACAATGTCTTTCAATATTGAATAGTTACTCAAGTTGTTTGAGTTTTTCATGAGATAATTCATTTTCATTATGTTTATGCTTTGTTCATGGATTTCACTGTT